ATTATTATTATTATTATTATTATTATTATTATTATTATTATTATTATTATTATTATTATTATTATTATTATTATTATTATTATTATTATTATTATTATTATTATTATTATTATTATTATTATTATTATTATTATTATTATTATTATTATTATTATTATTATTATTATTATTATTATTATTATTATTATTATTATTATTATTATTATTATTATTATTATTATTATTATTATTATTATTATTATTATTATTATTATTATTATTATTATTATTATTATTATTATTATTATTATTATTATTATTATTATTATTATTATTATTATTATTATTATTATTATTATTATTATTATTATTATTATTATTATTATTATTATTATTATTATTATTATTATTATTATTATTATTATTATTATTATTATTATTATTATTATTATTATTATTATTATTATTATTATTATTATTATTATTATTATTATTATTATTATTATTATTATTATTATTATTATTATTATTATTATTATTATTATTATTATTATTATTATTATTATTATTATTATTATTATTATTATTATTATTATTATTATTATTATTATTATTATTATTATTATTATTATTATTATTATTATTATTATTATTATTATTATTATTATTATTATTATTATTATTATTATTATTATTATTATTATTATTATTATTATTATTATTATTATTATTATTATTATTATTATTATTATTATTATTATTATTATTATTATTATTATTATTATTATTATTATTATTATTATTATTATTATTATTATTATTATTATTATTATTATTATTATTATTATTATTATTATTATTATTATTATTATTATTATTATTATTATTATTATTATTATTATTATTATTATTATTATTATTATTATTATTATTATTATTATTATTATTATTATTATTATTATTATTATTATTATTATTATTATTATTATTATTATTATTATTATTATTATTATTATTATTATTATTATTATTATTATTATTATTATTATTATTATTATTATTATTATTATTATTATTATTATTATTATTATTATTATTATTATTATTATTATTATTATTATTATTATTATTATTATTATTATTATTATTATTATTATTATTATTATTATTATTATTATTATTATTATTATTATTATTATTATTATTATTATTATTATTATTATTATTATTATTATTATTATTATTATTATTATTATTATTATTATTATTATTATTATTATTATTATTATTATTATTATTATTATTATTATTATTATTATTATTATTATTATTATTATTATTATTATTATTATTATTATTATTATTATTATTATTATTATTATTATTATTATTATTATTATTATTATTATTATTATTATTATTATTATTATTATTATTATTATTATTATTATTATTATTATTATTATTATTATTATTATTATTATTATTATTATTATTATTATTATTATTATTATTATTATTATTATTATTATTATTATTATTATTATTATTATTATTATTATTATTATTATTATTATTATTATTATTATTATTATTATTATCCTTCTCCTTATTGTTCACAGTTGGAAAGTCCTTTTGGTAAACCCCAAGCTTGTACAGGAGATGCTGTTAAGGACCATGAAGGGAGTTTCTATAAAAGATGCTGTTTTCCGGTTTTTTAGTTCACCAACTGTTTAATATGTATACTGCAACTTTGCTTTACGCCTTAAATTAATTTTCATCTCATGGAATGGATAGTACAGATGTTAATATAAAATATATGCCCATATATCTCTAGATATGAGCCCGACCTCGGTCCCGACTCTGACCCCTGAGATCATATTTTATATGAAATATAGTCCATATACCCGAGAGTGTTAGAGTTCCATAAGAGCATAACCTCCATGCATCAAAATCAAAACTAAGCATTAGACGGCAAATTGACAAAAGATAGAGGACTCAACCAGCCTGACCTCGACCCTGAGGTCGTACCAATGATGCCGAGATCATACCAATCGAGCTGATCTCATACCAGTTGATGTCAAGGTTGGGAAAATATCAACCTCATATTTCAACCCAAATAGGCAAACCCTAAACCCGCCCTCGAGGTCGGTAAAACCCATGAGGTCAATCAAACATCTAGGTCAATCACAAACTCCAATTCTTGTGATTTGTGTGAGGTCAAATGAGGTAGACAAAAGCTTAAGCACAAGATTAACACTTCCAGGCAAAACTGTATATCAAGAGTGAATTCATTTCTCACAAGCCCGCGCTTCCACGAGCTCGGGGTCTGCGCCCCTTTTGGACTTGGTTAATATTTCAAAACAAAGCCAAAATACACGTTCTCTACAAATTCACATGCGCAATAAACATATGAAAAAATCAAACGTGCTCCATATTTTGAACATAAGCTCATCCTTATATATTCCAAGCCAATAACAAGTTGTAACAACATTCGGGAAAATGTTGGGTTCCGAAATCATCCAGAAACGCCAAACTATAAGCTCGACCTTAACCCCCTCCCCGAGGTTAGTAATTCCTGACCCCAACCTTGATAAACTTGGATCATTGAAACATTAATAAGGCAAAGCCCGACCCTGACCTTACCATGGTTTCTAAAACAATTACCTTAGAAATCCCCTGGATAAGTTAAGCATGTGACTACCTTCGATCTCCCCAAGGTCTTCAATTTACTTAAGCTCAAAAATCAACTGGATAAGATGAAACCTTATGCCGACCTCAACCTCATCGGCGTATTTAAAATACATACTTCAAGACTCATCTAGATAAAGTGAACTTTACCCTTGATCTCAATCTCCCCAAGAACTCTAAAAAGCTAGGCTCAATAATTACGTTAATAAGACAAAAAACTAAATTTGACCTCCCGAGAACTCGGAATTTGCAATAACTAGACTTAGCCTCACTTTAGAATCAAGCACTTCCCAACCTTGCGCCACCAATTATGTCGAGCTCATACCAACAATACCAAGCTCATCCCAGTTGATGTCGGGGTCATACAAATGATGTTGAGGTCATACCAATCAACTTTTATAGTTATGTACATATCGTGTCGTGTTTTACTCTTTAATTTTGCACGTCAGTAACTCATGAAAATATTGGTCAACAAACAATATAACAACTCATGTGACCATGTCCGAAAATATACGAGAATCCAAAAGTTCCATTTGACTATAGTGGTATTTACACTAAAATGGTAAAGTTAGAAGTATTTTTAATGATTTTGAAATACACTCTGTTATATTTCAATTAATCTTAAGACATCATAAATGAGCACAAAGATGCAAAAACGTACATGCATACAAATATATATGATTTGTTTATTCACAAATTAGCAAAAAAAAAAAGTAAGAAAACAAAAATGCTTAATTTGTTTGTTGACAAAGCCATAATAAATAAATTCTTTTTTGAGATAAGGGTCAGATAGGGTCTCGAACTTGAAAAAAAATGTCAAATAAGGTCATATTTAGGATGCTCTGTCCGGCCGACGCCATTTGGGGTGGTTCCCGGTAGAATTTTTTGATGAAATTTTTTGAGAATCTTATTCATTAAGTCTAGTTTACTCATATCAATTTTGAACTAAAACTTTAACCGGGAAGGCATTCAAATGAATTCTTGAAGATAACTGTACCGTTAAAAGCGCAGTTATCTTCATGAATTCATTTGAATGCCTTCCCGATTGAATTATTAGTTCAAATTTGATATGAGTAAACTAGACTTAATGAATAAGATTCTCAAAAAATTTCATCAAAAAATTCCACCGGGAACCCCCCCAAATGGCGTCGGCCGGACAGAGCATCCTAAATATGACCTTATTTGACATTTTTTTTCAAGTTCGAGGCCCTATATGACCCTTATCCCTTCTTTTTTCATAATGTTGGTTACCATTATACACATTTTTTGAGTCGATAAAAAAACCGCCGTTACCTTGAACTTCCATTGAACATCCTATTGTAAGCTTTACATTATTTGATTACCCACTATTGCAATAAAAAAACTTGATTACCCTAATTACATCTATATATGACTCTGTTTTACTATCTTGATTAGATTAATAAACTAAATTTATTTTATACATGGAACGACAATTACACAACTAATTTCAAACCACACAGATTACTGTGATTACCCATAACATGTTTTTTCCCTCACTGTACAACAAATTTAAATATTATTTAGTATTTATAGATTTGTTATAGTTATATTGACCTATAACCTTACGATACTTTTACATAATTTATTTTGATATAAAATAGCATATGTATATATTTACTACCATGTTTTCCCCTGCTATTTTCCCGCATCTTATATGTTCTTTCTGACATCCTATATGTGCAAATTTTAAGAAATTGACAGTGTAAATGTTTACAAAATTAATTTGGACATAGATTTAGATGGAAATATGTATCAATTGCCAAACTTTTCGCCACATATATAAAATGATTGGTAACCCAATTTACCTGATGCACCAATTTAAAGAAAAGCCAAAACCCAACAATCTACATGATACCAAACGTCTCATAAAAGTAAACACCATCACCCACCTTTTCGTTTCTTGTGCCCGTACCAACTGTCAAGCCACCCTTCTGTTCCTTCCTCTGTATTTGCCGACTTCCACCATAAACATACAACAACTCATCGTTACTCTCAACCCAAACCAACTGGCCGCCGCTCGCTTTTCCATCACGCGCAACAGGTATGTTTTTTCACTCAATTCATCCGACATGCAATATGCAGCAGTGTCCGTTCGTTCAGCCAAAGTTTTTTTGATGCTTTTCCCTTCATGTCGTTTATTTTCTTGTTCTTAGGGGAACTATTTCAAGTGAATCAGGTAATGGGCTTCTATCTTATTTGTTTGCATGTCAGTTAGTATACGCTTTTCCCCCATTCATTTTTTGCAAACTTATTTTTTTCTTGGCCTTAGCTTTATGGATTTGTTAAGCAATTGTGAGGTTCAGTGCACCCAAGATGCACAGGGTAAAGAAACCCTCACATACTATGTCAACACAGTGCATGGTCGAAGACTTACGGCTGCCGTTGTTACCAAGGTCAATGGAAGAAACTATGAATGTCTTACAAGTCAAGATTGGAAAGACTTTGTTCGAGCTACTGGATATTTTAAGCTTATGACAAAGGTGTTCCGAAGCAAGGATGAACTTCAACACCTGCTCAGCCATTATGTTTTCAACAATTCCTCACTGCCAAGAATCACAGGTTATTTCACTATTGTTAATTTCCTTGTGCTTGTCCCCCATCCCTATACAAACTACAAACCCCATACCATTCTTGTTTGTGATGTACCAAACCCAATGTTCTGTGTTTTTTTATAGCTATTCTGATGTCTTATGTCTATTCCTGATACAAACACACACGCTTGTATGCACAGTTTGCTAACCAAATCTTTAGCACCCGATATTCTTTAAGAACTATTCTGATGACTTTCTCCTATGCAGAATGCCCAAAGACTCGCTCACTTCATCTCCCCGACGTCCTCCAATTCAACATTGTTTGGTTTCTCTTAAAGGCCACTCGCATCAACTCTGTTGTAAGCTTACTTTATATTATCACATGTTCCTTATTTGTCCATTCGTGCTTACTTTTTCATGCCCGCTTTCTGATTTCTATTTGTGTTGTCAGCCCATTCCTGTATGCATGCATCGCCATCTCTTTGAACATGCCAAGCGCTACGCTAGCCTTGTTTATGGTGCTCGAGCATGGACAGTCAAAGTTGATGACTTTTGCTTCTCAGATGGCCTTGCTGCATTTTTGATTGAAAATAATGTTGACGTTGGGACATATATGCTACTCCACCACATTGGTGATTTCAAATTTCAAGTGTTGATGTTCGATGATTTGGGCTTCTCTTTGAACCTTGCCAGCCCACCCAGTGCTTCCTCCACCACATCACAAAATCAAGGTCCATTTATTGCATTATTGCTTTCCTTTTACCTTTCGTTTATACTCATAATATTTACTATTTCGTTTTTCACACAACATTTGCCTAAATTTTATTTCTTTATGGAATATTACTGCGAGAACCAATTCTCTGTGTTTATTTTTCCTGCCCACAGATGTTTTTACGGTCTACGTGGAATCCTGTCTTCCAAACTTCTCTTATAGACAGCTGTACAAGCCTCCGTCATTCCTGTATGTGCGTAACCACACTTCTAAGGTACATATATTTCATAGAGTTAATCTGTTGAGGTTCCTGGGTTTCTCCTCTTCTATTGTTTTACATTGTTTCACAACCTGTGTCTGCCTAAGCGATAAATGCAACAATTAACAACAAATACCACTCCATGCACAATTCTTATATAATTGACGAGTCAACTGCGTACACATATTTACACTCCCTCTTTAAACTCTGTCCAATGTCTAAATTGCCAAAATGTTGAATATATTCACTGTTTATTTTAAGATTTCCTAAAATTTGGTCTTCCTTTCGGGCACAGGCATGTTGTGAAGCATTTTTAAGCTCATGTGCTAATGTCAACGGCCACCTGCAAATGTACTTTGGCAAGGACAATGCATATTTTCCCCCTGAGGAGGGACCAGTGTTGCGCAAGATTCGAACTACCTTTGCATTGAACCGCCATTACCCTCTTGTCTTTGTCAAATATGGCCCTGGAATAACGTTGCTGATGGCCATTTCGCCATGTGGGGTGGAAGAACCACCCAGACGGGCCAAAAAATATGAAATCTCTACACCTGCATGTGCCAGCACCCCTGCCCCTTCCGCATGATTACTACTCTACCAGTCTCTCGTTTATTTGGTTTGATGTTTCATGGTTGATATAGACTTTGAAAAACTGAATGTGTCACTTGTAGTTTTGAAGTTTAATATGTCGTTTGACTTCGACCAAACTCAAACGCCTAATGCTTATCAATCATGTATTGCCAAATCTAAATCATTTTTTTTGCTGTCGAGCAGTGCCTTTATTATGTACTCATACATTTCCCAGAGTTGGCCCCCAACCACCGCATCATGTGCCTGCCCAAAAAAAAGGGCCACCAATAGGCGGCACTTCATTGTTTATTGACTGCATATGTATCTGGCTTGTATTAAGTCTTTATTAGTTGTTCCATACATTTAACTCGCTTATATTTTGCCTTTGTTAGTTGTTCCAAATCAATACAAAACAGGTCACGCGCCTTTCAGAGTGTTATTGTTTCGCCTCCAGTAAGTTAACGCAAAAACCCAAGCTTCACCACAAGCCTAACCATGTTTTACAATGCCACCCGTCTGTACCTTTAATTAAAGGTTTGTTTTTCCTTGTAACTTATTCATGCCATTCATTCCTTTTAAATAGTCAGCCCATATAAAACCTTTGCTTTCCCAAAATGCTTTATTTAGTTGTATTCATGATTCACGGCGCACTCAAAATTGTCTGTTCTTTTTTCTTGCATACATTACTTCTTCACTTTTTACTAACTAAGGCTGTTTTAGCCCAACTGTTTCTTTTTTTGAAATTTTCCTTATTGTTATTGAACTTCATAGCATGCCCGCGAATAGGTGCATTTCGTATTCCTGTTTATTTTGTTCCATAACTATGCCTATTCTTACTGCCATTATCTACTACCATTGTTATTCAGCAAATTACAAAATATCTATAACACCATCTATTCGGCCATTTCAGGCCTTATGCACACCTTCTGTGAAGGATTACTTCTTCAACTATCAAGTTTAATGATTTCTATTTCACATAAAACTTTACTGATTCATTTAAAATAAAAGCCTTTCAATTAAACTCATACACTCTTCTAAAGTGCATGAAAACTTTCACCTTTAAAGTTCCATTCATTTACATTCCCCAGGCCCATTCAACAAACTTTTTGTTTCCCATAAAGGCATTTACTTTTGTTGTTCACCCCCTGAAATTTGTATTATCTACGTAAAAGATATGCTGCCTCTTGTCTTTACGTACAGAATGACCCTGCTCAGGTGAGTCGTTTTACATTGTTTTTCCAATGGTGTTCTTTCTTGTGATCCAAGTTTTTTTTTTTTGAAACTTCACACTCACCCCATACCAAACCGAACAAGCCCTGAATGACCGTTATTCACCGGTCCGCTCTGTTGTTCCTGCCCCATGACCAACATGAAGCATTACTACTTCTCGTTTTCAGCTACGATCTGGAGAAACTGTCTCACTATCAGAACAAATATGAAAACCCCACTATTGATAGCTGGCCGGCAGTAGAATCTGCATCATGCACATCACATTGCACTGGTGTTGCCTAACTTCTTGCATTACTTTGTCTACATTAACCAACCCAAACATTTACAATCTCTCATGCTTTGCTTGTTGTCACAACTACCAAACTACCAAACATGAAACTGATTTATGATATTTTACCAAGTTTTCGCCCTTCTTTGCATTACTTACATATGCTTTAACATTTAATCATTGTTGGGCACAAACCACCGCGCATCGCGCGGGCCAGTGCTAGTATACATATAGAGGCCGATGTACTAAACTAAGAGCGCTTTAGAGTTGAGTTAAACCCGGGTTAGTTTGGTGACAGGCTTTCTTTAAAATTCAGACCTAATTTATTTTTTAAATAAGCCATGTCGTGATTTAACAGGTTAGGTCACAGGCACTTGATAGACCGCCTGGCTTATTCCATCCCCATGATATAATACTTCTTCATCCCTAAAAAAAAATACTTCTTCGTCCCTTAAAACTTTTCTTTTTGGGTTGTATAAAAAATCTTTTCACGTTTCTTTTTAATCAGTTAATTTGTGATTCAATATTATTTCTTTTCTTCGATCTTTTCACAAATTTTAACTACAAAGTTTTTTATTTTATTATTCTCCGTACTAATCAAAACCTGACAAAATTTTAGGTGATTGAGAGTGTAACATCTAAATCGGACCATTCCAAATTATTAGACGAGCTTGCTCCTTGACTACGTACATTAGCTCGACGGACATACGGGGTGTTTGGCAAAAGGCGTTTCAACCAAAAATGGCGGTTTGGCCACTTTCAGCGTTTTCAATAAGTGAAAAGTTGTTTGGTAAATAGCGGTTTGGGACTAGCGTTTTTGGACGAAAACGCTGCCAATAGGGGTGTTTTGAGTTAGCGTTTTGTAAAATGGTGTTTTCTATTAATTTTATGGCCAAACAGCTAAATTACCAAACATCTTCTAACAACTCATCAATTATTCCGCTAGTCAAGCCCGTTGACTGAATTCTCTATTGATAACCTGCTAACATAACCCGTTCAGGGGCGGAGGGAGGGGGTGGCCTGGCTGGGCCATGGCCCCGGGTAATTTTAATATTTTTGTATTATATATTTAGCTTTTATTTTTTTTTAGAATTGGTCCAAGCAAGAAAAATACTGGCCCAGTGTAGATCCATTCTGGCCCAGTGCAAAAAACGGTCCAATGCTAATCTTAACCAGAGAAGCATAGCAGCAAGACAGATACGGATAATCCTTTTGACTTTTGAGTGGATTACAGCTGGATTCCATTTTGGTTTAATGTTTGTTTAGGCTTGAAATAAATTAGTGGTTGCCACGAATTTTACTATGTTTTTATTTATGTTTCTGGCAATGTTTTTAATTATTTATATTCAACTTTTTTTCTTTATTATTAGTGAAGTTTTACTTTTTCATAATATTTGAATTTTTGTGTCAAGTATAGTCGTATATATTGTTTAATTTGGATTAGATTAATATATCAAATTATGTACTCATATTACCATTAGCAATTCTCTTTTGCATTCATAAATAAAAAAACTTAGAATTTTAGATTAAAGAATTTCTATGATGACATTTTCAACTAAGATTTCCATAATTTTTATTTCTTATCGATTATAGATTTTTATATAAAAAAAAATTCATGCATTAAGATTTACGCCCTAGCCTTACGCCTCAATGCACATTGAGGTTTACGCAATACATATTGGAAAAGAAAACCTCAACTCCGCGGTGCGCAATTTCAGACATTGAGTGCAACAACAGAAAGATCATTTTATGCAATGGAACATGCATGGGCGTAGCTATGAGAGGGCCAACCTTGGCCCCCGCCCGGCCCAAATTTTAAAAATGTCTAAATTTTTAGTGTACAAAATTTCTTTAATATTTTTTCAAAAATAATCTTTGTACCGGCCCAGCCTGACCCAGTGTCCTGACTCCGCCCCTGAACCCGTTATTCGCTAATTGTTAACCGCTGAATGTCATACACGTCCATAATCAACGGCTGAACGAAACCCATCCTTGAGCTAGACTTGAGGGAGGTGCCTGACAATGTGAAACGTTTGTGCATCATTAGTATCGAACTCATTAATAACCTATTCTTATTAACTAATTTGATCAAATTCAACATGTGATTGTTTTTTCATATTTAAGCAGATCAACAGTCAACAGATGTCAATGAAAGGCCGGCATATGTACTCTTCTATGGGAGTTTCAAATTTTACTTGTCATAATCACTACATTTTTTAACAATTACAATCTCCATATAAGTAATTTGTTAACAACTACTTGTATTTATACGCACTTATTGATTTATGGTATACGACTTATCATGCAAACAAAGAGAAATATTAGTATCTATTTTTGTAAACAATTTCTGAATCGTGTGACTCATGGGATATTAACTATTAAGGACACATATATCCCTCTCAAATCATAGATACGGTTATTTTGTAGTTCCAAATTCTATTGTAACCCAAATGTCAAACAATATGATTATATTATTAATTGATAGTTTGCTCGTTTTTCCCCCAAAAAACACTAGTTTTTTCCCCAAAAAACAGTACTCGTTTTTAAATTTAATATTTTATGACATTGATAAAATATTTCGTTTTACATCTCTCAAACAAAAATCCATCGCTAACTCTAATTTGTTATAACATAACTTGGCCTTTTTGTTATTGATTATAATTATAAAAATGTACTTGCGACGCATTCATCAACAACTTCTATCAAACTATCTCCAACAGAGTGAACTAACAATCAATTAACGAAAATATATATCAATAATTTTAAGTGGACGCAATAATGATCCATATAACAATATAAGAAAGTGAATACTAATTCGGAAAATAAGAACTAGGCAGTTCTGCTACAACTTCTAATCTACAAATATATACCTATTCAATAAAAAACACGCTATTCAGATTTTTGAAAATAATTTACTACTCCGTATAAAAATACAACGGGATTGACACAGAGCATTGTCAAGATTTTGACAGGGACTATCCGTGTGAAAATGTATTGGTTAGGGATTTTGACATGACTTTAGCATATATTCGCGGATACACACAATATTATCTAGGTTTAAATATATTTTTAGTCCATGCAAATATAGTGCATTTTGTTTTACATCTCTGCAAAGTTAGTTTTTTGTTTTTCGTCCCTACAATTTATGTTGGCTTTCTTTTTAGTCCATCACTCAAGATAACAACCTCTGTTTGACCTCGAAATAATCCTGATTAATGGATTTCCTCTAATTCTTTGTCATGTTGTTGAAGAAATATTTAATTTAATTTTCAAGAAGGGTTTTAATATATATTTTTAAAATGACAATACTGAGTTTTAAATCGTTTTATCTCTCATATTAGTCTAGAAAATTATAAAAGGACAAAGTTAAATATTTCTAGTAGATTTATGTAACTGGCAATAACTTTTTTTTTGTAAGTAGAGAGTAGTTTCAGAATCAGAGATGGACTAAAACCAAAATAGTGCATATTGCAGGGATGAAAAACAATAAAAATATTTTGCAGGGACTTAAAACAAATTGTGTCATATTTCCAGGGACTTAAAACGTATTTAAGCCTATTATCTTATATACTCCCTCCGTCCCCTTTTAAAAGTCCCGGAAGAAGGTGGCACGGGTTTTAAGAAAAGTGGGTTTGTGTGGTTGATATTAATTGATAAAGTAGTAATAAAGTAAGAATAAAGTAAGAATGATTTTGAGCCACACAAACTTTACCAAATGAGGTATGAGACATTTAAATAGGGACATCCCAATATGGTAAAATGGGACATTTAATTGGGGACGGAGGGAGTAATAGGGAAAAAGGTCAAATAGGCTCTTGTACTTACATAAAAATGTCAAATAAGTCCTTACATTGGAGACTCTTTCCGGCCGTCTACATTTGGGGCAGTTCACGGTGGAATTTTTTGATAAATTTTTTTTAGCGTCTTATTCATTAAGTCTAGTTTACTTATACCAAATTTCAGCTAAAATTTCAATCAAGAAGACATTCAAATGAATTCTTGAAGATGACTGTGTTTTGAACAGCGAGGTAATCTTCAAGAATTCATTTAAATGCCTTACCGATTGCAGTTTTAGCTAAAATTGGGTATGAGTAAACTAGACTAAATGAATAAGACGCTCAAAAAAATTCATCAAAAATTCCACCGGGAACTGCCTCAAATGACGACGGCCGGACAGAGCCTCCTATACAAGGGCTTATTTGACATTTTTATGTAAGTATAAGGGCTTATCTGACTTTTTTCCCTATATAATATAGCTCTCTTAGTGTGGTCGGGGCGGATACAAGACGCGGATGAAGGAACTTTTTAGACATATAGGGGGTGTTTGTTTTACAGCGGGTCACCCCAAACCGCTGTTCTTTTTCAAAGGGAAACACTGCAAAATGCAGCGGTTTTGCCCCAATCCGCCGAAAACCAAACAAACCCATAAGACCATTTGTAGTGGTTAGGAGGCTAAAAAGTTAAAAAAGGACTCCGTCCATATGAAAACAGTGTTTAGACTCTTATTCCTTACATCCCAGCACCGTCAATAAAATACATTCAGCATATTTTTTCACATATCAATTTAGTAAAACATTAGTTAAATCATCATAAGTAATATTTTCAATTTACTTTTTTCCCTAAATAATTATGAAATAAAAAACATATATTTCGATGTCAAAATAAATCAATTTCATTAATTTTTTTTTACGTTTTTCGGTTAACAAAAAATGAATTTAGTCCAAGTAAAGTTTTATTATGGAATATTCAGTTATGTGTAGAGGCTCCATGAATTAAAAATTTGTGTCTTATGTTTTTTCAGATTCAAGAAAATTCCAATTCTTAAAACATAAGATTTTGTTTCATTTTATATATTACATGTTGATGTCATATGAAAGATAATTAAAATTCATAAATTTTGATATATCTTTTGAAAAATTTGGAGAACAAATAAAAAAGTTATAAGAGTTTTAAAAAATTTGGGATTAGAATGATGCAGGGATGACATCATCCTCACATCCATACAATTCATTCTTGGTCATTCCCTTCCCCATTTCTTTTCTTTTTCTTTTTTCCACTCCTACCAACCCACCCTCTATTTCTAACACCCCCATCCCCTCTTCCATTTTTAATACCCTATTAAACCTACCACTACATGAAATTAGGAGTCCAAAAGTTCCATCTTTAACATTTTGGACTCCTATTACTACACCACTTCAAATGGCCTAAAGAGGGTGAATTCTGCGCCTCACACACTTTGTGCTCCATAAACTTTACCCTTTCCATTTTCAATGAAAAAATTAAACTGAGTATTTCTTATAGGTAGTACATTTTTTATTTTTGCACAACCGTTGAATCAATACATCAGGAGTCACTCTCATCCATAATTGCACCCAACGTCAATGTCATGTTAGTAAAGTTCCTATGAACACACTCCTTTTAAAATATCATTAATGCTTACACTAATATAGCACTAAACAAGCTTACGATGTCGACAATGATAATGTTGACTAGATTTTTTTTTTTAACTAACTAGTAACCTATATCGTCCCCTTTTCCTTAATTTCAAAACTTGTGATTTTAACTTGTAAACTCTCTTGGGTAACGTTTAACGTATATTGTAACCTCTTCTCGATTTGGAGAGCAAACCCTAGCTGTCCCATTTCTCATCTTTTCTCAATATTTGTTCTCCTTTTAAGGATGAATAAAGATCTTCTTAATCAATAATATTTTCAAGCTATTTTATATGATTCCTTGATAGTGATATCTAGAGTTTGTGTATTCCTCATATGTGAATCAATATAGTGTTGCGATTTTTTGGTTAGTGATTGTCAATGTTTGTCATATTTGATTTTTTGGGGAGACTAACTGTGTCGACTCTGAGACCTTTATTATTCGTCCCCTGAACCACCGTCATACCATGGTAGCATGATAGTGCTCGATTGGATCTTTTTTATGGTTGGTCACTTCAATGATATTAGCAATAATTTCTTCTCAATAGTTGGTCAAATTGAGGATTTTAGAAGTTTCTTTCTGATGACATGTTTGACAAATTATACGGAGTATTTTCTATGTAGTATTATTTTCTGTTGGGTTGATGGTGAAATCGATTTGTACGTGCGCTTTCTATCACATAATACTTTTAGTACTATTTCTGATCTTAATTATTGATTTAGTACCTTATTTAAATTTTTAGAATTATTACCTCCATCCTTGTGGAGAATGCCAACTCTGAGTTGATGTAGTAATAAATTTTTAGTATTATTACCTTCATCCTTGTGTGATTGAAATTTGTGCAAAGTAAAAAGAAATAAGTCGAACTACCAATCTATCCTTACGTTTGTCCCATTTTTGTGTGTCTTATTTTGATCTGACTTATTTATTAATAAAATAGTTGAAAAGAATGGTCAAAATTTAAATACAATAAAGCGTAATATTGTGAATCACATATTTCTTTCAGTTTATTCTATAATTTAATATTTTCTTTTTTAAACATAAATATGTGATTCACAAACAATAAAGTTTAAAATAATCTATAATAAAGTTGTTAAGACATACAGAGTATATATTGACCGGGGAGGAACTAATTGGAAACCTCACCGATGGAGGCACGCTCTGCCGAGAACGAACTGGATGCACGCTTTGCCATACCCAAGTAATGCCACTACAGTTGCCCGACGTCCCACGCCTGCAACCTATGCCAAGTCCACGCCCCTCTTGGCACTCGCACTGTCCACACGCACAACGCCCCTGGTCACGGTGCCATCAGACCAAACGCAAGGGATTCACTGTCACCAACGCAGAATCCTCCTCGGACTCCACTTGCTTCAAGGCAGCCAACTTTTGGTTCTCGGGACAGTTCCGCTGCAAGTGCTGACCGCCACACCCCCAGCAAGCTTTGGACTTTGGTTCCATCACACTCGCTTCCGTTGCCGCATTGATGTCGTCACACTTCAGCGTCCCCCTTGAACCGGAAATGCCTGATTCTCCCTTGCCCTTGTTCCCTTTGGAACCATCGGACAATGAGTGATCCATGAGTCCTTCGGCCGCTGCCATGGCACTCGGCAAATCCTTCACAGTCTGCCTCCTCAATTCTTTCTGGGCCCATGGCTGCAGTCCAGACACTAAATTGAACAGCTTGTCCTCCTCCGTCATGTTCTCAATGTCCAACATGAGCGAAGAGAACGCCTTGACATAATCCCTCACCGATGTGGTGTGTTTCAAGTTCTTCAGGGCCTCTCTGCCCATCCAAGAGACATTGTGGGGAAGTAATTGAGCCTTCAACTCCTTCTTGAGTCCATCCCATGACTCCAGCCCGTGTCTTCCCGTATTAGCGTCGTCCCTTACTCTACTCCGCCACCAAAGCTTTGCATCACCAGACAAGTACGTGGGTGCAATTCTCACTTTCTCTTCGTCCGACACCTTTGCGGCTTTAAAGTATTTCTTCCATATCCCACAGAAAGTTCTCCAACTCCTTGGCATTGCGGTCACCACCAAAGGTCTTCGGCTCTGGCACTTTGATCTTTGAAGAGCCTACTTCCAGTGGCGGAACTAGGGGGGCGAGCCGGTGCCGGCGCTCCCCCTTCTCCGGAATAGTTAAGGTGTTATCAGTACCGCGCCCATGCAAAGCATCGTCATCTTCTTCCTTTGCCTGCCTGGTTCTTAGCGCCTACTGAGAGGAGCGAATCGGACTCCGTATAATGAAAGTCCCGTAGGGTTTTTTTTCATTTAGTGCAGCAGCAGCGTTTAGACATACAAAGTATAGTTCTAAATTCTAATAGACATACATTTTGGGCTACTCGCCGGCCCAAAATACCAAATTCAACAAAGCCTTGTAACTCCTCAATTCCATGAAAACTTAATGACTTAATTTGCTACTCCCTATTTTGTATATACTGCCAGCATATCATAGTAGTATTAATTATTACGTATTACGTATTATGCTACAATAATAGTGTATATTTTAATTAATTCAAATATACTAGTACAATATTAAATACTACGTATAAGGACTAGTAAAACCATTTTATATCATAATAAGGATTACTTGGCTAGATTCCTTGAATGTAAATTAGTCAATTTATGTATATTTAATATTTAATGATTGTTTGATTTTATTATTTTATAATTGTAAAACCATTTATGTGTAATTCTTAGCACAGAAATCATTAATAATCTCTACCAAGGATTGCCAAGCATTTGATACTGAGTTTCTTCCTCCCTTTTTAGTAACAAATTAAAATAAAGCAGAAGTAGTGAGGCTTCTAATTATAAATAAATAACTGGACACAATTTTTTCGTGTGTAAAGTTGTAAACCCTTTTTTCGTTTCGATTCTTTTGCTAATATATATGATCCATCTTATTTTACTTGTCTTACTTTCATTTTTTTCATTATTCCAAAATAAGGGTCACATTTCTTTTTGGAAAAATTGATAGTAATAATCCTAACTATTGGCGGTCCACCTATAATAATCCCAACTATCGATTATTTCAGAATAATCCCAGCTTTAGGGACCTTCCGCCAATAATGGTCCCTATTAATATATTGTTGTAGTTTCTAAAGTGGATGAGAAGAGATATAACAAGTAATCCCTATAAATAATCCCAACTTATAATTTTTACACTTAATTTCTATTTAAAATTCACTTTTTAAATGAGGTAATATTTGGTCATGGACCATTATTGGCGGATGGTCCATATAGTTGGGATTATACAAAAATAATCAACAGTTGGGATTATTATCGGCAGACCGGCAATAGTTGGGATTATTATTTTCAATTTTTCCTTTCTTTTTTTTGTTGAAAGAAATATGCAATTCTCAATATTTCACTTTATTATTATACTCAAATTTCAACTAGAACTTTTACTTTTAAACCACTTTATTAATGAGACGGAGGTAGTACAATTTTTTCTAAATGGTTAAAGGATATATACGTTTTCTTATATAAAGTCAAATGGTATATACTAGTATATGTTACAAATTTAAAAATTATGTATTTTTTTGGCTGAACTTTCTAGTCTCCTATAGTATAAAAATTATGTATTTTATTTCTTCAAAATAAAGTTGGAGGGTATACTTTCTCATGCACAAAATTTTTTTCTATATATTTCAGCACCGGCTCAAAAATTGTTCTGGTTCCGCCACTGCCTACTTCAACGCTTGGATCCGGTCCCGCTGCAAGAGCCCTCTTCAAAATCACAAGTTCCGACTTCGTGGATTCGTTCTCGGCAGAGCGTGCCTCCAGTTCGTTCACCAGGTCTACCCTTGAGGCCTCAAGTGCCTTAAGCCGCGCCCACACCGGCCTAAGCGCTTCCTCAATTAGTCCACGAACCAGCAACATGTTACATGGAGGCTCCGGTAAGGTATACCTTACTGGAAGATTTTCCCATATATATATATATATATATATATAGAGGAATGATCCTGTCCAGCCGGAGGGACAGGATCTTCCGTCCGGCCGCCGCCGTTTGGGGCGGTTCCCGGTGGAGTTTTTTGATGAAATTTTTATGGAATGTTCCTCATCAAGTCTAGTTTATCCACAAAAAATTTCAGCTAAAAATTTGATCGGGAAGGCAGTCAAATAATTTTTTGAAGATAACTGCTCCAACTTAAACATATAAAACGCAGTTATGTTTCAAAAAATTATTTGACTGCCTTCCCGATCGAATTTTTAGCTGAATTTTTTTGTGGATAAACTAGACTTGATGAGGAACATTCCATAAAAATTTCATCAAAAAACTCCACCGGGAACCGCCCCAAACGGCGGCGGCCGGACGGAGGATCCTGTCCCTCCGGCTGGACAGGATCTTTTCCGTTCCGTATATATATATATATATATATATATATATATATATATATATAGATTTAGGATCAAATGAGAACAACCCTTAACGTGAGAACGTGAGAACACCACATTTACCCAAATGTGATGCACAATGAGGCTCGCCCAATGCACATTTTCGCGTTCGGCACAGTATTTACTAAAATGCCACCGTCATTATTTATATAGGCTTATTTTGAGCTAAACCCAAATGTGCACCTGACGGGCTCAATTGTGTATCACGCTGGGTTAATTGTGAGTGTTCTCACGTTCTCACGTTAAGCATCGTTCTCACTGGAACCGCACCCTATATATATATATATATATATATATATATATATATATATATAGAGAGAGAGAGAGAGAGAGAGAGAGAGAGAGAGAGAGAGAGAGAGACAAATCTTCATGTCAGGCCGGCCTGACGGGATGCTCCGTCCGGCCGAGCCCGTTTGGGTACCTTCCCGGTGGAATTTTTTTATGAAATTTTTTGAACATGTTTCTCATCAAGTCTAGTTTGTCCATACCAAATTTCAGCTCAAAATTCGATCGGGAAGGGATTCAAATAATAATTTTTTGAAGTTGACTGCGTCAAAATATAAAACTGCAGTCAACTTCAAAAAATGATTTGAATGCCTTCCCGATCGAATTTTGAGCTGAAATTTGGTATGGACAAACTAGTCTTGATGAAGAACATGCTAAAAAAATTCATTAAAAAATTCCACCAGGAAAGTTCCCAAACAGGCTCGGCCGGACGGGGCATCCCGTCAGGCCGGCCTGACATGAAGACCACTCATATAGGAAAATCTTTCGGAAAGGTATACCTTAACGGAGCCTCCGTGCGGCCTCCACGTTTTGAGGGCCTTCCCGGTAGAAATATTTGATGAAATTTTTTGAGAATGTTCTTCATCAAGTCTAGTATATCCATACCAAATTTCAGCAAAACTGTAACACCCCCAAATTTCCCGCCCAAAAACATTGATATGATTGAAATAAAACTTTTATTTATTGATAATAAAATTTAAAGAGTACAGCGGAAGTCTAAATAGGGAAATGGGTGTTACCGCCACATCCGGTCATCTCTCGACCGGATGCACAGGCAGCTAAAACAATAAAACTAAATAAATAAATGTTTATTTGAAGACTAAATTTGACTAATGCAACTTCTAACTCGCTCTCAGGCGCATGCATTCAGCAATCAACATAACCATCATCACCTGCACAAATATCGTGCAGAAACAAAACAAAGAAAGAAAACAAAAATTAGCTTTAGAGCTAAGTAAGTACTACCCAACCCCGTAAAATAATCAGGTTTGGCAAAAATAGATTTTTATATAATACTATATAAAAATAACACACTCCATAAAAATTCTCTTTTTCTTTGATTATCTCAAAAATCACTTCTTCTCTAACTTTCTAGTAATTTAGAAGGGCGGTGCTCAACCTTTCGACTAAGCCCGGTGGACCGTGGTTACGGACGGCCACCCCGAACAAGTGCCGGTACCACAACTGCTCTTGTAGAAACAAAACGACTACCTTAAGTGTGCACACCCCCTAAAAGGGATTCCAAGCCCTCCGAGTAGTAAGTCGTCACGAGTAATCGGGACTCAGTCTACCAACTACCCCACCTTTAAAATTCTTGAATGATTAGGGACTACTACTACTATAACTTCTTCTTAAAAGGGATCATAGATCCAAATGTCACTTAAAACTTAAACTGTACTTCTTAGTACTAGCAGCCCTAATCACCCTCCACATTTATCCGGATGTGGAAAACCGACACCACGGATTTCTCCCGGGTGCTCACTTCTTATGAAAACGTACATTTTATCTATAATTAAAATGTACTTCAAAAATATTTCTCAATTTCTTTAAAAAGTCTGGAAGGTATTTAAAAATATTTAATACCCCAAAAGTACTTAATTTATATTTCTCAACTACCATGTATATAATATCTCCTCAAAATCACATACACAAAATTCACAATCCACACTTAATCACATAATGCATAATAAGCATATAATACGAGGAAACAATTTTGGATTGGCAGAGAAACTTACCTCAAAGTCACGCTTTTGCTCTAACTCTACTCGAAATCTAGTTCACGTCTTCAACAAATTCGCCAATCTTTCCTTTAATATTATCAATGTGCGAAAATTAATAACTACTCCATTATTTGAATTTAATTAATTCGGTTTATTACTCTTATTCGAAATAGTTAGCACTAATTGACTATAAAATTCAACTATATAATTTAAGTCTTTAATAAAAATTTCTACTTAATTTATTTATACTTCTACTACTATTTAATTTTCGGCTATACACACTAATAATTTCTAATTATTTTATTTATCCGAAAATAGCCTGCTAAAACTTAACTGATTAATTCTAATTTCAATTTAGTAACTAATTTATTTATCTTAGTCGAAATTAGTTTTACTAATTTCATTAAATGTAAGAAAAATCCATTATTTAATTATTATCGCTAATTAGTTCCAATTAATTAATTAATTCCGAAAAATCTAATCTTTAATTACGAAATTAACTAACTTAATTTTATTAATAGATCAGACCTTAATCATTTTTAAATATACTCATTTATTTAGTTAAGTATATAAAAGATCAATTTAACTCATTCACCAAATTTAGTTAAGTATATTTATTAATTATTCGAGTTAATCGCATTTTATTAATCAAATTACCTTATTAATTCAGTCATTAATTACGATATTTGAATTCTAATAAAATATCCAAATATAATTAACTACAACATCCGATTTTAATTTAACTATTATTATAAAAAAAACATTCAAATAATTAACTGTATTTCAATATTATTAAAACATATCCGAATTACATTTAAATAAACTATTCATATTTCCTAATTATATTAATCAATCCAAATATTATATAATTATTTAAAATTAACTAATCGTCATCAACTTAATCTGATTTTATTAATTAATTACTTAAACGCTTGATATTACGTTAACTTACTAATCTACTTCAATAATCCAATAATTAGTGAAAACAATAACAATCCAATTTTCTCTACTAAGTCCAAATAAATAATTATACTTTTAATATAATATTTGTTTATCATTTTTTATTAATTGAACCATCAATTTCCTTTTTATTATTTAACAATATGTAACTATGCTAAATAACAATTAACAAATTTATCCAAGTGATTACTTATCAATTAATCCTGCCAATTTCACCATTAATACTTCTCATCTCAAATTTATCAATTTTGCAGATTATTGTTATTACTATTTATTATTATTATTATTATTAGTATTACTACATGTTATTATTATTATTATTATTATTAGGAGTTCAGCCCAAAGAAAACAAGGCACCGGCCCAATCGGCCCAAACATTTTTTTTTAAAACAAAGGTACTGTTCATCTTCCTCATGGTTCGGCTACGGTGGTTACCTCGACGGATTCGTGATACGGTGGTGGTAGAAGACTCGTTTGGGGACGGCGAAGATCAGTGATGGGTTGGCGGCAGCGGCAGCTCCTCCGTCTTCTCCGTTTTCCGTTTTTACGGTTAGCCTGGCGGAACTCCGGCAAGCCCGTTCTCCGTCGTTTCACGATCGTTTCCAATGATTCTTTTTTCGTTGGACTCCTCTCAAGCAGGGGAAGATCTCAGAGGTGTTTTAGGGGCTCGGTTATGGCTAAAACGATGGGTTGAAATATGTGTACACATATATATATACTATTATATATATATATATATGTATATATATATATATATATACGTATTCATGTATGTTGATCGAGCTCAGCTCTATGTGAATGGAAAAGAAGATCGAGGGCTCTATTTATACTGATATGTAGAGGGTTTTAGGCTGCGACTTTAGTTAAACAGAAGATCCGATTTTTGCTGATGGAATTCAATCGGCTCTACCGCTCTACTCGTATAGTATGTAGAGTTGGGTTTACTACGGATTGTTCATTTTGTGTGAAACCGCGGCTGGATTCATTTTTAAGTTATATACAAGGATACGTAGTTTAAATTTTACTCCTTATCTATTTTAGTTTTTAAGGTTCAGTCAAAGTCCTCAAAGTGTATATACATTTGTACTGTACTCCTTATTATTATATGCATATTTTTCGAATACATACTTCGTATAATTGATATATATATATATATATATATATATATAGGTTTTAACATTTCTTTTTATTTAACTAAATTAACTTATACTCGTAAAAAAAAAAAATTCACTTCCATTATTGACCATTTTATCTAACTACTGTGTCAAAGTTTTAAATTTTATCTTATTCCCTTAATAAAATGCCACTCTTAAAGAATTTTATTCGAAAAAAATCATTATTTTCTTTCATTAAAATTTTCGGAGTGTCACATTCTACCCTCCTTAAAAGATGTTTCGTCCCGAAACATAAACTAATATCTACTATCTATAATATAAAATTACTAGGTGTTACATTCTACCCCCCTTAAAGACGAGTTGCGTCCTCGTAACTAGAAAATTACCTTATTCAAATAACTCTGGGTAACGTTGACGCATATCGTCTTCAGTTTCCCAAGTTGCATTCTCAGCCAAGTGGTTAGACCACAATACTTTCACCATCTTAATTGCTTTTCTTCTAGTCTCACGAGTCTTGGTGTCCAGAATCTGGATAGGTCTCTCCTCGTAAGTCAATGTTTCGTCTAACTCGACCACCTAATAAAGTCGAGGTTAGATGTGACTAAATTGATTCTAAAAATTCCTTAAGGTTATGTTTCATACCTCAGGGTTAAGGATATGTGAATCGTCGTGAACATACTTCTTCAATTGGGAGATATGGAAAACATTGTGTACCTAAGCATATCATACGTTAGTTTTGAGAGATATTTACTAAGGTATCCACCAACGAGAGGTTTTAAAGTGTAATTATACCTTAGCCAGCTCAGTGGGTAGAGCTAGACGATATGCCACTCTTCCCACTCGCTCGAGGACATCATACGGACCGATGAACCTCGGGCTTAGCTTTCCCTTCTTTCCAAATCTCATTACTCCCTTTGTCGGGGAGACTCTAAGTAGGACTTTTTCTCCCACTTCAAATTCAGCTGATTTCCTCCCCAGGTCTGCATAAGACTTCTGACGATCTTGTGCAGCTTTCATCTTGGCTTGGATTAGCTTCACCTTCTCGATGGTGTCTTGGAGGTAATCCGGTCCCAAAACCACTTGATCTACCATGTCACCCCAACATAGTGGGCTTCTACACTTTTGACCATATAGAGCTTCGTACGGGGCCATCTTGATACTGGCGTGGTAGCTATTGTTGTACGAAAACTCTATTAAGTCTAAGTGTTCGTCCCATGACCCTTGTAAGTCTAACATACATGCTCTCAGCATGTCCTCGAGTGTTTGGATGGTCCGCTCCGTCTGCCCATCGGTGGTCGGGTGAAAGGCAGTACTCAGCCTCAGCTTCGTTCCCATAGCAGCTTGCAACTCTTTCCAGAATTGAGATAGGAATCTGGAGTCACGGTCAGAAACAATGTCTTGAGGAACTCCATGGTACTTAACCACGTGCTTGATGTAGGCTCGGGCTAACTTCTCCATGCTCCAAGTCTCGTTCATCGGGATAAAGCGAGCGGTCTTTGTTAACCGGTCAACTATAACCCAAATCTTGTCTTTGCCAGATTTGGTTAGGGGTAAGCCCCCGACAAAGTCCATGGAGATGGAATCCCACTTCCATTTTGGCACTTCCAAGGATTGCACGAGTCCCTTGGGCTTGCAACGTTCGGCTTTCACCTTCTGGCAGTTTAAGCATCGAGCCACGAGTTCAGCTACCTCTTTCTTCATGTTTGGCCACCAAAAATTCTTTTTGATGTCTTTGTAGAGTTTGTCGCCTCCAGGGTGCACTGAATAGGGCGTGTTGTGCCCTTCCTCCATGATTTTCTTCTTAAGCTCTTCACATTTCATCGGAACACACCACCTTCCTTTGTGTCGAATGCTCCCATCTTCGTGCAGTTTGAACGGTCCGTTCACGCCATTTGTCATACCGGATCGGATTCTATCTAGCTTTGTGTCTCCAGGCTGCCCTTCTCGAATTTCGTCGAAAATAGATGGGGTAACGGTCATGGTGAGTAACCGCGTTTCCCGATCTACCTCTCCGAAATCCCGAACTTCCAAGTCTAGCTTCTGAAAGTCCCGATATAGCTCATCTGGTAGTATCCATGTTGCTTTGCAGGAGTGAGTTAATTTTCGGCTCAACGCATCGGCAACTACGTTTGCTTTTCCTTCATGGTACTGGATCTCCAAGTCGTAATCCTTGACGAGTTCCAGCCAGCGTCTTTGTCTCATATTAAGCTCTTTTTGGGTGAAGATGTACTTCAAGCTCTTGTGATCAGTGTAAACCTTACATTGTGCCCCATAGAGATAGTGCCTCCATAGTTTTAAAGCAAAAATAACCGCTGCCAGTTCCAAGTCATGAGTCGGGTAATTGACCTCGTGGGTCTTCAGTTGCCTTGATGCATATGCCACCACTTTACTGTTTTGCATCAATACGCAACCCAACCCTTTCAAACAAGCATCAGTGTAAATCTCGAACCCCTCAGTACCGGATGGTAGGGTCAAGACAGGTGCAGTTGTTAATCTCTGCTTCAGCTCTTGGAAGGATTCTTTGCATTCGTCACTCCATACGAACTTCGTAGTCTTCTTCGTGAGATTAGTCAAAGGCTTTGCTATCTTTGAGAAATCCTTCACGAATCTGCGATAATAGCCCGCCAAGCCTAGAAAGCTCCGGACCTCCGTCACGGTTGTGGGTGCAGGCCAGTCTATCACCGCTTCGATCTTTGATGGGTCAACGGATACACCTTCTTGGGTGATGATGTGGCCCAAGAATGCTACCCGATCCCTCCAAAAATCACATTTTGAGAGTTTGGCATAGAGCTGATTCTCTCTCAAAGTTTGCAGCGCCGTTCTCAGGTGCCCTTCATGTTCTTTTGGTGTTTTGGAGTACACCAGGATATCGTCGATGAACACCACAATAAACAAGTCGAGATAGGGTCGGAACACTCGGTTCATGAGATCCATAAATACCGCAGGCGCATTTGTTAAGCCAAACGGCATCACGGTGAACTCATAGTGTCCGTACCTCGTTCGAAAAGCCGTCTTTGGAATGTCTTTCTCAGCAATCCTCACCTGATGATACCCGGATCTCAAATCAACCTTGGAGAACGTGCTAGCTCCCTTCAGTTGATCAAAGAGGTCATCAATGCGAGGCAGCATGTACTTGTTTTTGATGGTTGCTTTGTTCAGCTCCCTGTAATCGATGCACAGTCTCAGACTTCCATCCTTCTTCTTCACAAACAAGACCGGAGCGCCCCAAGGTGAGACACTCGGTTTGATGTAGCCCTTACCCAATAGTTCTTCGAGTTGTTCCTTTAGCTCCTGCATCTCCTTCGGTGCCATTCGGTATGGTGGCTTCGAAATGGGTGCGGTGCCCGGTATTAGATCAATCGAAAACTCAACCTCCCTCTCTGGCGGCATTCCCGGAATTTCTTCTGGAAACACATCCGGAAATTCATTGACCACAAGGATTTGGTCAATGGTTGGGTTCTCGGATGTTATGTCTTTGATCATGCACAAGAAAACCTCACACCCCTTCCGGACGTATCGTTTGACTTGTTGCATGGTTGCCAGCTTCACGCCTGGCTTAGATGTGACCGCCTTGTAGGATACACGCTTCTTGTTGGGTCCTCTTAAGACCACCTTTTGTTCATCACACAGGATTTTGGCCTTATATTTTCCTAGCCAATCCATACCCAACACCACGTCGATATCCTCCAAGTCAAACTGGATTAGATCTCCAGGTAGTTCGGTATCGGATATGACTATGGGAATATTAGAGAAAACACTTCCACATGCTACAACTTTGTTGGATGCCGTTTTTACATTAAGATTATGTCTTGTGGTAGGTTCTAACTTTAACTTTTCCACAAATTTTGAGGCTATAAAACTGTGGGACGCACCCGAATCAAACAGTACATGAGCAGGTGTGGAGTTTACAAGAAAGGTACCTGACACCACGTCGTGGGCATTTGCTTGAGCCTGGTTCATGACGTAAATCCGGCCCTGGGTATTGTTCTGTCCTCCCTGGCCTTGATTACGGTTGGCCTCTGCTGGGCGGTTACCGGGATTACCACGGTTGTTGTTGATGTGATTATCCCCACCCCCGGTTTGATTATTCCCCTGGTTTTGACCCTGGCTCGGGGGTTTCCGGCACTCGTATGCCCTATGCCCCATGAGGTTACAGTTGTAACACTTCACCGCATTCCCCGCACAATCCTTCCCAGGATGGTTGTTTGGGCATAGTTTGCATTTGTAGTACCGTGCCTGAGTTGGCTGGTTTCTCCCCTGACCCTGGCCTTGGAAGGTTCTACCGCCTTGATTGTTTTGCCTTTGCTCAGGGCGGTTGGTTCGGGCTTTCTTTTGCTGTTGTTCTATGTCAGCATTCTTCCGGTCTCTCTTCTGTGCCTCTCTTTCTTTCTGGTGTACCAAGTAGTACTTACCAGCCTTCCTATATGCCTCGTTCATGTTCCGCGGTTCTGCTACAGTTACGAACTTTTGAGCTCCGTAATTAAGTCCGTTAACAAATCTGCGGGTCATGCTGGCCTCTGTTGACACCACATCTTTGGCAAAACGGGCCAGTTGGACGAACTTCGTGTGATATTCCTGAATAGTCAGGTCACCTTGCTTGAAATTGACAAATTCATCATAATTTGCCTCTTTTACGTGATCCGGGTAGAAGCGATCACGCAGCGCTACTATGAAGTCCTCCCAGTCAAAGTCTGGTTGCTCGAGAAGTGCTGGTCCGTTGGCGGCCCACCAGTGGTCTGCTTCTTGGTGCAGATAGTACACCGCAATATTCACTCGTTGCTCCATCGGGCAATTGAGTGAGTCAAAGAGCTTATCGAAAGTGCGAATCCAGTCCTCCAAGATAAGATGGTCCTCCTCGCCCATGTATTTTGGAGGGTTCCGCCCGGCTACTCTTGTTGCGTAGTCAATCCCATGGTTCTGGGGTTGAGCTGCTCCGATGAGCTGCGCCATTTGCTGGACAGTTTGGGCCAGCTCCTGGACAGTTGGGGTTGCATGGGGGTCTCTCCTTGGCGGCATGATTCTTAATAAAGAAAACGAGTACTAATTACTAAGACATTCTTAATACAAGTTCTCTACTAACTTCTAATTCTTAAAACAGATAAACACATACAAAGGATCTTACCTATTCCACATACTTCACATAAGCACGAATTTCATGCAAATAAATTCGCAAAGGTTTCTCCCTCTCACCGCGTTCCTAAAAGGCCTTGTTCCTAGTCTGTTCTTTTCTCCTAATTTTTATGAAAATGTTTTGAAAATCCCCACTTTGAAGGTATAATTTCCACGGTTTCCTTCAAAGATTTCGAACAACGAAGTTTCAGCACAAGGAGAAATTCCCAGTTGGTTGGACGAGCGCAAAGACTCAATTAAGCACCAACCAGCTCAGACTCTTATCGTCTAGTTGACAGAATTCCTCCCTACGACCTATTACCTCGTGTTCTAATCCTTTTGGAAACCTGTGGCTCTGATACCAATTTGTAACACCCCCAAATTTCCCGCCCAAAAACATTGATATGATTGAAATAAAACTTTTATTTATTGATAATAAAATTTAAAGAGTACAGCGGAAGTCTAAATAGGGAAATGGGTGTTACCGCCACATCCGGTCATCTCTCGACCGGATGCACAGGCAGCTAAAACAATAAAACTAAATAAATAAATGTTTATTTGAAGACTAAATTTGACTAATGCAACTTCTAACTCGCTCTCAGGCGCATGCATTCAGCAATCAACATAACCATCATCACCTGCACAAATATCGTGCAGAAACAAAACAAAGAAAGAAAACAAAAATTAGCTTTAGAGCTAAGTAAGTACTACCCAACCCCGTAAAATAATCAGGTTTGGCAAAAATAGATTTTTATATAATACTATATAAAAATAACACACTCCATAAAAATTCTCTTTTTCTTTGATTATCTCAAAAATCACTTCTTCTCTAACTTTCTAGTAATTTAGAAGGGCGGTGCTCAACCTTTCGACTAAGCCCGGTGGACCGTGGTTACGGACGGCCACCCCGAACAAGTGCCGGTACCACAACTGCTCTTGTAGAAACAAAACGACTACCTTAAGTGTGCACACCCCCTAAAAGGGATTCCAAGCCCTCTGAGTAGTAAGTCGTCACGAGTAATCGGGACTCAGTCTACCAACTACCCCACCTTTAAAATTCTTGAATGATTAGGGACTACTACTACTATAACTTCTTCTTAAAAGGGATCATAGATCCAAATGTCACTTAAAACTTAAACTGTACTTCTTAGTACTAGCAGCCCTAATCACCCTCCACATTTATCCGGATGTGGAAAACCGACACCACGGATTTCTCCCGGGTGCTCACTTCTTATGAAAACGTACATTTTATCTATAATTAAAATGTACTTCAAAAATATTTCTCAATTTCTTTAAAAAGTCTGGAAGGTATTTAAAAATATTTAATACCCCAAAAGTACTTAATTTATATTTCTCAACTACCATGTATATAATATCTCCTCAAAATCACATACACAAAATTCACAATCCACACTTAATCACATAATGCATAATAAGCATATAATACGAGGAAACAATTTTGGATTGGCAGAGAAACTTACCTCAAAGTCACGCTTTTGCTCTAACTCTACTCGAAATCTAGTTCACGTCTTCAACAAATTCGCCAATCTTTCCTTTAATATTATCAATGTGCGAAAATTAATAACTACTCCATTATTTGAATTTAATTAATTCGGTTTATTACTCTTATTCGAAATAGTTAGCACTAATTGACTATAAAATTCAACTATATAATTTAAGTCTTTAATAAAAATTTCTACTTAATTTATTTATACTTCTACTACTATTTAATTTTCGGCTATACACACTAATAATTTCTAATTATTTTATTTATCCGAAAATAGCCTGCTAAAACTTAACTGATTAATTCTAATTTCAATTTAGTAACTAATTTATTTATCTTAGTCGAAATTAGTTTTACTAATTTCATTAAATGTAAGAAAAATCCATTATTTAATTATTATCGCTAATTAGTTCCAATTAATTAATTAATTCCGAAAAATCTAATCTTTAATTACGAAATTAACTAACTTAATTTTATTAATAGATCAGACCTTAATCATTTTTAAATATACTCATTTATTTAGTTAAGTATATAAAAGATCAATTTAACTCATTCACCAAATTTAGTTAAGTATATTTATTAATTATTCGAGTTAATCGCATTTTATTAATCAAATTACCTTATTAATTCAGTCATTAATTACGATATTTGAATTCTAATAAAATATCCAAATATAATTAACTACAACATCCGATTTTAATTTAACTATTATTATAAAAAAAACATTCAAATAATTAACTGTATTTCAATATTATTAAAACATATCCGAATTACATTTAAATAAACTATTCATATTTCCTAATTATATTAATCAATCCAAATATTATATAATTATTTAAAATTAACTAATCGTCATCAACTTAATCTGATTTTATTAATTAATTACTTAAACGCTTGATATTACGTTAACTTACTAATCTACTTCAATAATCCAATAATTAGTGAAAACAATAACAATCCAATTTTCTCTACTAAGTCCAAATAAATAATTATACTTTTAATATAATATTTGTTTATCATTTTTTATTAATTGAACCATCAATTTCCTTTTTATTATTTAACAATATGTAACTATGCTAAATAACAATTAACAAATTTATCCAAGTGATTACTTATCAATTAATCCTGCCAATTTCACCATTAATACTTCTCATCTCAAATTTATCAATTTTGCAGATTATTGTTATTACTATTTATTATTATTATTATTATTAGTATTACTACATGTTATTATTATTATTATTATTATTAGGAGTTCAGCCCAAAGAAAACAAGGCACCGGCCCAATCGGCCCAAACATTTTTTTTTAAAACAAAGGTACTGTTCATCTTCCTCATGGTTCGGCTACGGTGGTTACCTCGACGGATTCGTGATACGGTGGTGGTAGAAGACTCGTTTGGGGACGGCGAAGATCAGTGATGGGTTGGCGGCAGCGGCAGCTCCTCCGTCTTCTCCGTTTTCCGTTTTTACGGTTAGCCCGGCGGAACTCCGGCAAGCCCGTTCTCCGTCGTTTCACGATCGTTTCCAATGATTCTTTTTTCGTTGGACTCCTCTCAAGCAGGGGAAGATCTCAGAGGTGTTTTAGGGGCTCGGTTATGGCTAAAACGATGGGTTGAAATATGTGTACACATATATATATACTATTATATATATATATATATATGTATATATATATATATATACGTATTCATGTATGTTGATCGAGCTCAGCTCTATGTGAATGGAAAAGAAGATCGAGGGCTCTATTTATACTGATATGTAGAGGGTTTTAGGCTGCGACTTTAGTTAAACAGAAGATCCGATTTTTGCTGATGGAATTCAATCGGCTCTACCGCTCTACTCGTATAGTATGTAGAGTTGGGTTTACTACGGATTGTTCATTTTGTGTGAAACCGCGGCTGGATTCATTTTTAAGTTATATACAAGGATACGTAGTTTAAATTTTACTCCTTATCTATTTTAGTTTTTAAGGTTCAGTCAAAGTCCTCAAAGTGTATATACATTTGTACTGTACTCCTTATTATTATATGCATATTTTTCGAATACATACTTCGTATAATTGATATATATATATATATATATATATATAGGTTTTAACATTTCTTTTTATTTAACTAAATTAACTTATACTCGTAAAAAAAAAAAATTCACTTCCATTATTGACCATTTTATCTAACTACTGTGTCAAAGTTTTAAATTTTATCTTATTCCCTTAATAAAATGCCACTCTTAAAGAATTTTATTCGAAAAAAATCATTATTTTCTTTCATTAAAATTTTCGGAGTGTCACAAAAACATTCAATCGGCAAGGTAGTCAAATGTTTTTTGGAAGATAACTGCACCCTTTATATACATATAAAACGCAGTCATCTTCAAAAAATCGTTTGATTGCCTTCCCGATTGAATTTTTTGCTGAAATTTGGTATGGATGTACTAGACTTGATGAAGAACATGCTCAAAAAATTTCATCAAAAAATTCCACTGGAACGGCCCTCAAAACATGAAGGCCGCACGGCTGCTCCAGTAAGGTATACCTTACCAGAAGAGTTCCCTATATATATATATATATGTATGTATGTATATATATATATATATATATATATATATATATATATATATATATACACTCCATTCCAATTGAAATTGCGGGTAAATTGCGAACTAACACAATTAGATTGGTGGTGTAGGTCAAATACCTTGTGATATGATGTCATCACTGTGGCACTCCCAAGGAGGAGGTCACAGCTTTGAATCTGATCCCATTTCAAGGATGTTGGCATTAATATTGAGGAGATACTATATACTTCCTCCGTCCCTTATAACTTTGCCAACTTTTCTTTTTTGGATGTCTCACTAACTTTACAACTTTTCCATTTAAGTAAAGAATTTGTGATTCCAGTTAATTCTATCTCATCTGCACAAATTTCAACTACAAATTTTTTACTTTATTAATTCTCATACCGGTCAAACTTAGCAAAGTTATTAGGAACGAAGGAAGTAGGTTAGAATGAATTGTGCAAAAAGAGGATTGAGGGGTGTAGTAAATGGTACTCCGTATAATATGATTCCGACTATAATTTAAAAAATCGTCGGTATCTGGTCATCTTCCATGTTTTGACGTGTTTGTGTAGTCGATTCATGTGGAAGAAGCATATTTTATTCAGCAATTATAACAACTCGAATTATAGTGGTTAGTTATGTCCAAAACTATAGTCATATCATATCATATCATACGGACTAATAAATTTAGTCACACTGGTGCTTTCAAATGTGTAATCATTGAGCCAAAGCCAATACATTTTTTTTATCGCTCGCATAATTGTCGTGCAGTGCATCTTTTCACAATCTTTATTCCATAAGTTTATAAAAATTATTACTCCATAATATCCATGTTTTTTTTACAATTTTATCATTTGATTTGGGGTAATTTGACTAATTTTATGTGAAGGCCGGAATGTGATACGAACTATGTCACGCCCCGGACCTATCCGGACACGTCAACAATCCGCCGTACAGTACGAATAGTCAATCGCAGTCCAACACATTCATACTATACAAGGCGTCTGGGATATCATTCACACATAGTACATCCATAAACAAACATAATGTAAAATATTCATTCAAAGTAGCGGAAATATTTAATACAAGTGTTCGTGCCACACTTTGTCAAACATGGGCATACAAGCCCCCAAATGATTATTCAAAAATATAATATCCATGAGCATCAATTTAAATGTTTTTAAAACAGAATTTGGAGGAAGCACGAACCACGTCTTCTCTCCTTGATCTTCCCGAAACAAGTGGGCGATGGCAGCAACCTTCAAGTTCTACCTGAAACTGTGAGGTGGCCTCCCCCGTGAAGAGGAGGTCAGTACTTCGAAGCATTTGACAAGTACAATGACAACTATACTAAGTATAATCAAAGTTTCAATTTCCAGGACCCTCAATCTAGGGTGTCATTATATCATAGTAAATTTTCTTCGTTTAGTGTAAATTCATCGTTACTTACCACGACCTAGAGCCCAGCTCAATAATCACCGTTACCTACGACGGTCTAGAGTCCAGCTCAATAATCACCGATAACTACTACGGTCTAGAGCCCAGCTCAATAATCACCGTTATCTACATCGGTCTAGAGCCCAGCTCAATAATCACCGATAACCACTACGGTCTAGAGCCCAACTCAATAATCACCGTTATCTACATCGGTCTAGAGCCTAGCTCAATAATCACCGATTCTTTACAATTCGATTTCTTAGGATCCATTCATCCATTATTCAACTACAATTCCAACTAATATTTCAATACTAGTTATTTACTCATTTCAATGTAATTCTTCATTCAATATGCAATTTGGCCTTAATATCAAAATATCACTTTTATTCTTTCATGGCTTCTTCTCATGAAATAAAAGCATACTTATCACAAATGGGATTTATGGTTGATACTACCATCATGCCATCATATTCATAACATATAAACATACCCAACTTATTCAATAAATTGGTATATTATGCAAACTATACTTATATTCAATAGTAATTTCATTTAGGCATTATTAACCATTAATAATCCATGCAAATCACATTGTGTATTCATTTAGGAAATCTCATGAAATTAACCCAAAGATTATAAGCAATACAGTCGGTCATCCTCACTTTAAGTGAGCTTAAGCGTGTTCTACGCTTCTCGATCGATCTTTGACTAATTCCGGTGAACTTTGACCAACTCCGGCGAACTTTGACCAACTCCGGTGAAACTCCGGCGAAGCTCAAAAACACTTTAATCAAGTTCCCAACAAGGTTTTAACATCAAAAACCTTAATCAATACAAATAACCTCTAAAATGTTATTTTCCGGTGAACTTGTCGGTTCAGCTCCTAAGTCCGTTTTTGGACTTAGAACTACCTTCCAACCCATCATTCTACACTTAAGTCATGTAGAACAATCCGGCCTCAAAGTTCCTCATATGATATATATCTCATATGGTAGAAGAAAAGTAAAGGAAAAGCTAATATAAGGTTATTACCTTAATCTTTCACACTTTCTCCCAACTTTTCCCTTCTTAAAAACCCCTTCTCTGGACTCCTTAAGCTTGAGTTCAGTTCTTGGCTATGGAGGATGAGGTTGCAAGAGTTATCCTTCTCTCTTGGGTCTCTTTGGCCGAAATAATGGGAGATGGTGAGTGAGGGGATAGCCTATTTGGCTTTTCTCTCAAAATAATGTGAAAATGGACCCCCTCATGGTACCTTGATAGCTTCCTCCCACCTCCCTCTTGTCTCACAGCTCAAGTGTGACACAAATCAGCCCCCTTTGGCTGCCAAATTCGTGGGTTGGCCCCCACTCATGTGGGAGGTCAACCCTTTTTGTCCAGAAGAGTACAATCGGTCCCGAAAGTTGTATTTCTCGGACCGTTTTAATTTTATTTTGTTTTATCGGGTCAAATAAAATATATTATGTGTTCTCCATCATTATGACCCTTATAATGAATATTCATTCCCAGACTTTAATTTATACGTCCCCGAAATTCAATTTCGGGCTTTTATCGGTTAAATTTCCAATACCGGTATTTGGGCCTCTTTTGACCAATCGGTCAACTCTGGACCTTTCCATGGCTCAAATGAGTTATCCACCACCATATAAATATTATCTAGACCAAGATGAATAATTTATGTGGTCCCGGGAATATTGGGCGGTCCCCGCTCCCGGGTGGGCCCCACGTGCGAATTTACTATTCACGCAAAATAATTAATAAAAATTCATAACATCGTAAATTCGTCAACCATTCCATAAGGTTAAAATACAATATTCACTTAAAAGTAAATACATTTGGGGACGGTGTTACAAACTACAAGGAATGTTAAATATTCATGTTTGGTTCATGAGGTTGAGAAAAGAATGTTACATTCCCGAGGATGTAATACGAAGGGGAATGTTAAATCCATCGATGTGTTAAGTTATCTGGCATTTCCGGGTATGATCTAGTTTACTTTCGAAAATACCCTCAATTAATTTTCTTTTTTTCATTTAATACCTTTTTAACTCCTCCACTTAAAAGGTTCTCGTCTACTACTCTCCAATATAATCAATGTAAATGTTCTTAATTTTTTACTTTATATATCCAACTTTTATCAAATTTATTTTTTTGCGACTTTATAAAACTTTTAATATAGTTTCAGGATATGTAAATTGTATTTAATAAAAATAATCTTATTATTGACGGAAATCAATAAATGTTATGGTCAGTCAAATATCATAAATTATGTCACAACCTTTTAAGTAACACAAATGGATTATGTTTATTTAATGAAATAATTACATATTTACGACTAAAATAAGATTGTTTGCAAAAATATGATAAATGATTAGAATAATAATAAATAATAGTAACTTTGGTTCAATTTTTAAATTTAAGTTATCATGACACTACATTATTGTAATAACTATTAGTCATATTTTTGTAAATAAATTTTATTTTATTTTTGTACAAAACTCTTATTTGACAATATTCAATTAGTTTAGATGAGAAATCATCATGTCAGGCCGGCCTGACGGACTGCCCCGTCCGGCCGAGCCCGTTTGGGCACCTTCCCGGTGGAATTTTTTGATGAAAGTTTTTGAGCATGTTCCTCATCAAGTCTAGTTTATCCATACCAAATTTCAACTCAAAATTCGATCGGGAAGGTCGTCAAATGATTTTTTCAAGT